TTGAATTATGAGTATATGGTATGCTCAGATATATTACTTTATAATCTGTCTCTGTGTTTTTACTTCTGTGACTCTCAATCATAGTCTTTGGGATATTTCACAAAATAATTTTGATAACTGGGGACTCTGTACTATTTCAGAATAACCAGTCCTCATACTTAGCTAAACTGGCACTATGCAGCTCTCAAATGCCAGTGATAATGAGTTGTCATTTGATAACTCAGTAAAGCTTGTTTTTTCATTTGAAAATAAGGTTAGCATGGAGGAGCTATTGAAATCTGCAGTATTTAGATATATAAAATCAGATGCAAAAAAATACCATATTTGCTTTTGCTTTGATATTAACTGCTCATCAGTGATGCAAGTCGGTACATATAAAAATACAGTTACACTGTTGATTCCACAGTGAAAATTCTTTTTAAGAGACATGCCAATACTTCTGGGCACTGACAACTTAGTTTTCCCATCTCATCTTTTTTAAACTAGCATACTCCATAGGAGTTTGTTTATAGAATGTACCATGCTAATGAGAAAACTTAGGAACAATTTTTAGAGTACTGATGTAGGGATTTTTTTCCTTGAGATAAAGTATAATGTAAGAAGGGTTGCTGTCACGTTAACTAGCTCTCAGAAGAAAGAAGGTTGTACATATAATTCACATTATTAAATGACAGCCAAATTTTCTGATTAAATAATGTATTGGTCAATTTTGATTTAGAAAAGAAACATAAGTTTCTGGATTTTTCTCAGGATGGAAAGTTTTTAGGTTGGCCCTTAAACTCACAACTTACTACTCAGACAGCAAGGCTTTAAAAACTGTCAATCTTTTCTTGATTCTTAAGATCAATTTCACATGACACCCCTACATAAAATCTATCAGAGGCCCCAGCTCTATTGTTGTTCAGTCGCTCAGTCGTGTCCGACTCTTTGCAACCCCATGGAATGAAGCACGCCAGGCCTCCCTGTCCTTCACCATCTCCTGGAGTTTGCTCAAACTCATGTCCATCGAGTCAGTGATGCCATCCAACCATCTCATCCTCTGTGATCCCCTTCTCCTGCCTTCAATCTTTCCCAGCATCACGGTCTTTTTCTAATGAGTCAGCTCTTTGCATCAGGTGGCCAAAGTATTGGAGCTTCAACTTCAGCATCAGTCCGTCCAATGAGTATTCAGGATTGATTTCCTTAAGAATTGACTGGTTTGATCTCCTTGCAGTTCAAGGGACTCTCAAGAGTCTTCTTCAACACCACAGTTTGGAAGCATCAATTCTTCAGCCTTCAGCCTCCTTTATGGTCCAACTCTCACATCCATACACGACTACTGGAAAAACCATAGCTTTGACTAGATAGACCTTTGTCGGGAAGGTAATGTCTTTGCTTTTTATTATGCCATCTAGATTTGTCATAACTTTCCTTCCAAGAAGCAATCGTCATTTAACTTCATTGCTGCAGTCACCATCTGCAGTGATTTTGGAGCCCAAGAAAATAGAGTCTGTCATTGTTTCCATTGTTTCTGCATCTATTTGCCATGAATCCCATGGTCCATGATCTTTGTTTTTTGAATGTTGAGTTTTAAGCCAGCTTTTTCACTCTCCTCTTTCACTTTCATCAAGAGGCTCTTTAGTTCTTCTTTGCTTTCTGCCATTAGAGTGGTGTCACCTGCTTATCTGAGGTTATTGATATTTCTTCCAGAAATCTTGATTCCAGCTTGTGCTTCCTCTAGCCCAGCATTTCACATGATGTACTCTGCATACAAGTTAAATAAGCAGGGTGACAATATACAGCCTTGATGTATTCCTTTCCCAATTTTGAATCAGTCCATTGTTCCATGTCCAGTTCTAACTGTTGTTTCTTGACGTGCATGCAGATTTCTTAGGAGGCAAATAAGATGGTTTGGTATTCCCATCTTTTTCAGAATTTTCTCATTTGTTGTGATCCACACAGTCAAAGGCTTTAGCGTAGTCAATGAAGCAGAAGTAGATGTTTATCTGGAATTCTTTCTTTTCCAATGATCTAACAGATGTTGGCAACTTGATCTCTGCCTCCTTTACCTTTTCTAAATCCAGCTTAAACATCTGGAAGTTCACAGTTCATGTACTGTTGAAGCCTGGCTTGGAGTATTTTTGAGCATTACTTTTCTAGCCTGTGAGGTGAGTGCAATTGTGTGGTAGTTTGAATATTCTTTGGCATTGCCTTTCTTTGGGATTGGAATGAAAACTGACCATTTCCAGTCCTGTGGTCATTGCTGAGTGTTCCAAATTTGCTGACATATTGAGTGCAGCACTTTAACAGCATCATCTTTTGGGATTTTTAAATAGCTCAGCTGGAATTCCATTACCTCCAGGAGTTTTGTTCATAGTGATACTTCCTAAGGTCCATTTGACTTCGCACTCCAAGATCTTTGGCACTAGGTGAGTAATCATGATCACACCATCATGGTTATCTGGGTCATTAGGATCTTTTTTGTATAGTTTTGTATAGTTTGTATTGTGTTGTATTTTTTTGTTTTGTATTGTTGCCACCTTTTCTTAATATCTTCTGCTTCTGTTAGGTCCATACCATTTCTGTCCTTTATTGTGCCCATCTTTGCATGAAATGTTCCCTTGGTATATCTAATTTTCTTGAAGAGATCTCTAGTCTTTCCCATTCTGTTGTTTTCCTCTATTTCTTTGCACTGATCACTGAGGAAGGCTTTCTTATCTCTCCTGGCTATTCTTTGGAACTGTGCATTCAAATGGGAATATCTTTCCTTTTCTCCTTAGCTTTTTGCTTCTCTTCTTTTCACAGCTATTTGTAATGCCTCCTGAGACAACCATTTTGCCTTTTTGCATTTCTTTTTCTTGGGGATGGTCTTGATCACCGCCTCCTTGCTCTATTAGGATAGATAGAGCTGAAATTTTTATTTTTTACACATCTTTCCCACTCAGTTATATGTGAGGTTTTTGGATGCATGTAGTGAAAATCCAGAATCTTACAGACAGTATTCAGAAATGTTTAACGAATGATGAACACATAATAAGTAAAGTTTACCCAAAGCTGCCACCACTCTAACGATGCTATGCTGCAGCACGAACTTAGGTATTGTTTCTCTGTCTCTCCTGATTCAGTTATACAAGTTAAGTTGGTAAAGTTGTTTCTTTGCCTCAGTAGAAGGGCAAACTTAACTTTATGGTGTAAATTTTCAAAGTTTATGACCCTTTAGGGTGCAAGGCCTTAAATTTAGGTCCCCAGGTTCCCTTATGGATAAGCGGAATTGAAGCCTTCTCCTTAGTATTTAACTGGGAAAGACTAGTGATGTGTCTCACGTGTCCTAGACTGTATTTTACTTGGTCCCTAAATTCAGTGGGTGTGACATGAAGGCACCCTGAATGAAGCTCATGATGCATCCTCCCTTAAAAATTTACCTAAGTAGATAAGAATCCACACAGTGTCTTAATAGAGGACCCTGGTCCTAGGCTTCGCCTAGCCACTCATAGGTCCATGGCAAATAGGGTGACCAACTATCCTGGTTTCCCTGGGACTGAGAGGCTTCCTAGATGCAGGAATTTCAGTGCTGGAACTGAGACAGCCACAGGCAAACTGGGAAGGGCAATCATCCTAAGTTAACAAAATGCTATGAGCCCTCTTGCCCATTCCCCTGGTGAAAGAAACGTTTAAGCCAGTCCAGTGAGTAATTCCAGTCTCTATAGATGGAGAAATATATATATAAAGTGTCTGCTAACCATCCCCTTACCCCACCTTCTTCTGGACTAACAACATCTTTTTAGTTACAGCAATGGGTTGTGACTCTTACCCATGTGACAGAATCGCCTGGAGGGCTTGCTAAATACAGATTACTGAAACTCACGCCTAGAGTTTTTATTTCAGTAGGCCTGGAGTCAGACTCAAAACTAGCATTTCTTGTAAGTGATGAGCTGATGCTGATAATGCTGGTCTGGAGATCTAGCTTTTAGAACCAGTGCTCTAGAAGTTTGCATATTACTCTTCTTCTGAAACTAACTGGGCTTCCCTGGTGGCTCAGACGGTCAAGAATCTGCAGGAGACCAAGTTTGGGTTGGGAAGATCCCTGGAGAAGGGAATGACAACCCAGTTCAGTATTCTTGCCAGGAGAATTCCATGGACAGAAGAGCCTGGTGGGCTTCAGTCTTTAGGGCTGCAAAGAGCTGGACACGACTGAGTGACTAACACTGTCACTGTCTGTAATGAACACGTAATCAAAAAAGTCAATGGAAAGTATGAAGGCATGAATCAGCAATATAAAGTACACACTATTGGAAGAATTCGTCTTTATTTCTTATGCAGTTCTCAGTGGTGAGTACAGTTTAAAACCAAAATTTTAATACTTTAAAATGTAATGTAAAGTTTTGTAGGGGTGTGAGGCAGTTCTCTATTACTGGGTTTACTTTAACAACTGTGATTTTTCTGTGGAAAAGTAATCACACTGTACCACACAGTTCTGGTGACATTTGGTTCCTCGACCGTGTGCTCAGATCCGCAGTTGAAATACTCTTTATATTTAATCTGAACCACAGTTTCACAATTGTCACTGTCTCTGGCGTACAAAGTGGGGGAAAGTGCATTCAGATAACAGTTTGCACTTCTCTCAACCTATGAGAAGTTTTTAATGTAACTGAACATGTAACAAAAATATAAAAGCAATTCCAAAGTGTATACATACATTTGACTTTATCCTTCTATTCTGCCCAACTCCTGCTGGCCACAGTACACACACTTTGCTTTCAACTGTAGAAATAGATCCCTTATCCTCAAAAATAGGTTTCTGACTGCCCTCATTTAGATGTCCTGTTTGACCTAGAAGAAACTAAACTGCAAAGCTTTGAGGACAGAATTTCAATCCCGTATCTGTAAAAGGTTTCTATGGAAATGAGTCTGAAACAGAAAAAACGTTACCATTATCATGAAAAAAAAAAAGATGGAAAAATGAAATGGCCCCCTCTCAGACACTAGTTTCCAATAATAACCATTTTTGTCTGTGTCCCCAGCGTTCCGGAGGTGCTCTGGCCATCCCCTTGTGCGCATTCCAGGGGACCGTGTCTCTCCAAGCCCCGACCGGGAAAACCCTATCTCTGTCTACCTATGAGGTGAGCGCAGAAGGGCAAAAAATAACCCCAGCCTCCAAGAAAATAGAAGTCTACCGATCCAAAAGTGTTGGCCATGAACCAAACTCAGAGGATTCTTCCTCCACGTTTGCAGACACCAGCGTGAAAATACACTTGGAGGTTCTTGAAATCTGTGATAACGAAGAGGCCCTGGACACGGTGTCAATCATCAGCAACATCAGTCAGTCCTCCACGCAGGTCAGATCGCCTTCCCTGCGCTACTCGCGGAAGGAGAACAGGTTCGTTTCCTGCGAGTTAGGGGAAACCGCCTCATATTCTCTCTTTTTACCCACCACCAATCCCGATGGTGAGATCAACATCTCCATTCCAGACACTGTGGAGGCACATAGGCTGAACAGTAAAGGGCAGAGCCACGAGACTGTTGGCTACCAGGAGGAAATCCAGCTGTTAAATAAAGCTTACCGGAAAAGAGAAGAAAGCAACGGTGACTAGTGATCATTTCGCCTGACAAAGGCAAGAATGGCGCTGCAACTTCAAGTGACTAAACTAACACCTTTGTTCTGAGGCTTATTGATTTTCTTTTTTATTCGTTGGTTTACATAAGCTTGACAGACTTAATAGTTAATTATTTTTAGCACAAACAGCTGAAACTAGTGCAAACACTTAAGTGCTTTTGATGTGTTACTTATAGATCACTCACTGTGGCAATTAAAAGGTTCTGTTTCTTATCCGATTTCTAAAAATCTTTTCTAAATCAAAACCCTGGTCTAGTTTACTAATGTTTTCACCTATATCTGTCAACCTCAGAGTAAACAGAAAATTGTATAAAGTCATTGAAAATATTGTTCTCATGCGCGTGTTTTGACACATAATGTTGGCCCTTACTGCAAGGGGGAAATGACATTTTGGGAATGGAAGGAATGTAGCAAAACTCTGAGTTGTATGTGAAGAAAGAAAGAAAAAGAAGTCGCTCCATCGTGTCCGACTCTTTGTGACCCCGTAGACTGTAGCCTACCAGGCTCCTCCGTCCATGGAATTTTCCAGGCAAGAGTACTGGAGTGGGTTATATGTGAAGAGGCTTGCCTAAATGTGGCTAGCAAAGCAAGCTTATTACAGTTACTGCTTTAGTTTCATACTGATTTCTAGGAACTACATTCCTGCATAAAATAGCAAATAAGCTTCCAACTCTGAAACATGCATGTCCCTAGTCTGTACCTAGCTGTTCCCTTCATTTCTATAAAGTACAAATTGTTTACTGATTTTTTAATCTCTCTTAAATATGAGTGTTCTCCTTTCATCTTTTCAGTATGTTGACTGCTCTTAATATAAATATATTGTATGTTAGAAGTAGAATTGGAAGTAACTCTTAGACATATTGGAAAAGGTTGTAAATATATACTTATCATTTCTAGAAGTGTTTTGTTTATTTGAACAGAAACTAGGAAAAAAACACTCCAAGATTAAGTTCTGTGAGGTACACCCAATCAGAGTAACAAAATTCTGGGTAGAGCAGAGGAAAAAATCCTCTAAGTCCAAATTAAAGGGTCTTGTTTCTAAAGCTGCAGATTTGGCAAACCTCCTCAGCCACTCTTGAAGCATAGAAAATTTTAGTTCACCTATATTCCAAGTTTAGGTGCTTTTTCATTTCCTTCCCAAAGATGTGTGTGCCTCAAGCAAAGAAACAATTCAATATAATTTATTGATTGTGAGGTATATATTTCAAGATTTTTAAGTGTGTTACATTGTAAAAATGCAGATATCACCTTGTTAGAATAATAGTAATGTACATATCAAAAATTAAGAAGGGATTTTTTTTTTAAATTGCTTTATTCTGATCTTTGTGTAAACATATTAAATGTATTACTTAAATGTTTTTCAGTTATTAAGATTGACATTCTACAGTTTTAAACTTTGTACACTCTCACTTTACTCATGTATCTTTGTTATTACTTACAGAATTATTTTTTTAAATGATTTATTTTGGCTTCCATTTCATTATGTTGAATCAGAATTCTAAACTACTTGACATAATCCTTCAGATTGTTTTATCTTTAGATTATTTTTTTTTGCTACCAAGAAATCATTTTCAAAATAATTATCTCAATGGATTTTCCCTATCTTTCATTAACTTCTCAATATACCCTTATTTAAACTTCGGAAGCAAATGTAATGCCACTAGTAATGTTTGTAAACAAAGCTTAAAATAAAACATATCATATAAATTCAAATTCAGATGTATTCTCATTACAAATATAGTTAATTTAAGATAATATTTTTTAAGATCAAACTTGAGGGTTAATTTAATATATGACAAATGGCCAGATTAATCTGACAGTATAAATCAACAGAGTTAAATGCCTGTTATAAAAGCAGAAGTTGAATATTCTAACAATGCTTTGTAAAAGATGGGTTTTGATATATTAAATTTAGATGTATAACTTTATAAAACAGAAAAGTGATTTTGCTGCTTACAGTATAATTTCTACCAGCAAGGAAATTACAAACAGAATCATAATAAAAATGAAGAAAATAATAAAGGCAGCTCCTTAATAACTGCAGCACTTTGAGTGGAAAGGAGATGATGAAAATCAAGGTTTAAAGAACATAAGGACTTGATTGTAAGACAGTAACAGCCCTTTTCCCTCCTGTGTGCCATTTTCTTTTCACTGGACTTGGGCCTATGCTGGGGGAACTGAAAACAAAACAAAAAAACAGTTAGGATATTCCCATTTAATTGTCTTTGGTTGTTGAAATAACAATATGATGGATACACTTAAAAGCTCTGTTGTATTGATACAATACCAGGATTATTTACCCTCAAGCCATAGACTAATCAGCATCACGTTGGTAACCTGTAACACTTCAAACTCCAAGGCAACAGGAAGTGGATCTCAAGAAAAATCTACAGGTGCCTATGCCAAAGCATGAATGGCTCCTATCAATCCCTGTTAAGAGAGGGGAAAGTTCGACTACACCAGTATAAAATCTGCTTACTCTTTAATGTGATTGTGATTGTAAAAATATGTTCTGCTATAGGACATATCCTTACAGATATTTTGTGCTATGTTTAAATATCTTACCTTTGCATTGTTATATTGTTCTTATTATCAATAAATGCTCTATTTCATATAGTTTATCTCTTTTCTCCACAGATTGATATAGCTGAAGACAAAAACTGTTTACTTAATAAAAATATCACCACCTGGTGGTGACTCCTATAAACTGAAAAGACATAATCCCTAAGATTTCCCAATAATATAAAAGCATATTACATAATCCCAAAGATTTCCAAGAGTTACGACTGACAGAGGCAACCATTTTAAAGACAGCAAATATCACAGTATTAATTAGAACATAATTTTTAAAAGGCTTGGTAATGCCTTATTTGGAAGTTTTTTCTCAATGTAGTTCTGTAGTACTGAATAGATAAATACATTTCCTCTTAATTTCTTATACTATTCAGCCACTTTCATTCATGTATTCATCATAATATTTAGTGAATGCCTATTTCATGCTAAAAATTATTCTAGGTACATAGGATTATAACTGCAAACAAAACCAAAAAAAAAATATGTGTGTGTATACACATATATACTGTGACTAGACTGTGAGTACACAGACTTCTTTGACTTCTTTTTTTCTTGGGGAGTACAGTTGCTTTACAATGTTGTGTTAGTTTCGGCTGTAAAGACTTTCCTCACATCTGACATCATGTGTGAGTTCTGGTGTTCCTCAAACCACTATCAATTTTAGTAATTCACTAAAAGAACTCACAGACCTCCTTGAACGTTGTGTAGTCACAGGCATGGTATGTTACAAGGAAAGGGTACAGATCACAGCCAGTCAAGAGAATAAGCACATACAGCAGAATCCAGAAAACAGGCCTAAGTGTGGAGCCTCTGTTTTCCTTTCCCTGAGGAGTCACGAACTGCATTACTTCCCTAGCATCGATGTGTGACCACACACTGGAATATTGCCAATAAGAAATGAATCCTGCTGTGCACGCTTTAATGGGGCTTCATCATGGTGGGAGTAGGCAAACATGGGTGACTGCTCACAAGACTGATCTGTTTCCAGCTCCTCAAGAGGTCAAGCTTATATGGAAAGAATAACTCAAAGTTACTACACTAAGTCACATTTTTACTACCTGGCTGATCTAAGGACCTCAGACAAAGCCACTTCTATCATGTAAACATTCCAAGTACTTAGTTACCTCCCCAAAAGAGCAAAGGTCAGGGCTCTCTTTGGATAGGATTAAGCTCTTCACTACATACATGCACATTGGTCATATACAGCTCTTATACAGGTCATATACAGTGCTTCACATATATATGTATATATGCATATATCTCAGGTAATGCTAAGTATTTTGACATAAAATAGGCACCAGATGTAATTTAAAAATTAGAATAAAGGAATAATGACAGAAGAAGTGTTGTTTTCAAATATTTTAGTGAGGAAAGCATTCACTGATTAAGGTAACATTTCATCAGAGATGCAAGTCAAAGATCAAGGTGTTAACTGATTTGGTTCTTGGTAAGAGCTCTCTTCTTGGCTTGTAGACAGCGTCTGTCCTCACATGGCCTTCCTTCTGAGGAAAGAGAGAGCAAGCTCTCTGGTGTCATTTGAAGCACTATCTCAAACAATCCACACTATTTCCTTCTTCTTTTGTTCCTATCATCTCCAATGACTATCTAGCCCTATACTGAAAAATTCCCATACTTGTACATCAAGTGTGCCCAATGGGTACATTTATTTGAACTATTCATTCCTATAATTTTAATATTAGCTAAGAACTCCCAAAACACAGTCTTCTCTCTCTACACTTTTAACTCATATAACCAACTGCTTTCTAGACATCAATTTATATGTTTTATAGGTGCCTCAAACTCTATTATTACTTATATATATTAACTCAAGCCTCCCCCTCTAACTTCCCCCCCACCAAAATCTTCCTCATCCTATGTTCTTTATATTTTAGGATACAGTACCTCCCCATTGGATCATCTTTCAAATCTTCCACTTGGGAGTCACCTGACCCTTTCCTCTAATTCTCCACATCCAGTGAATTACCAAATCTTGACCATCTTTTTCCCATTAGTATTTCTTAATTCCAGTCCTTCCCATATTCCATCTTGCTCTGTCATCCCATTCTGTCTCCCCAAAATCACAGCCTAAGTCTCTCTACATCCATTCTTGCCTTCTCCATTCCTTTCTACTCAAAGCAGCCAAAATAATATTTTGCTGACTTACAATGTATTATTCTTTCTGTGAGATGTAAGGTCTTTTATGGCCAGGCTCCTTTCCATCACTTTGGCCTTAACCATCAATTTCTTAAATTTCAGTGTGGAATTTTCTCACTCTCCAACATTTTCATCATCTTTCTTCATGTACAACATTCCATCCCCCTGTAATAAAATTTGAAGCACTATCTCAAACAATCCACACTATTTCCTTCTTCTTTTGTTCCTATCATCTCCAATGACTATCTAGCCCTATACTGAAAAATTCCCATACTTGTACATCAAGTGTG